ACTCCTTCAGATCAGCTGAATCTCTTGACAATCCAGTGAAGGAAAAAAATAAATCAAGGGAACAGAGAACCACCACTGCCAAACGACCAAAGCAAGATGGAACTAGGACTTTAGATTTCTTTTTTAAACCATTGCCACCATAGTTGCTCACTTGAGTAACTTGTGACTTAGAAAATGTACTTTCACTAATAAACTAATCCTAATAAATTGTTCCTTAAAAAAACTAATCTTTCTGGGAGCTAATGAATGAGGATAAAAATCTGTAATCAAAGGTATGCTATCTGCAGGGCCTTCTGTTACTTTTTATTCAGGGGTCTTCAAACTTGGCAAGTTTAAGACGTAGACTTCAACTCCCAGAATTCCTGAGCTAACATGACTGGAGGAGTAATTTTAAGAGTTGAAGTCCACCAGTCTTAAAGCTGTCAAGTTTGAAGTCCCCCGCTTTATTTGACAAGATGACAATGGACAATGTGACAGTTAGATTGTGTTCTGCTAATAGTTCTGTAGTTGTCCTATGACTAGTTTTAAAACAGAGCTCTGTAAGGAGGAATTCATCTACTATCACTCTATCATTTTGAAGATTTGCTTATTTCAGAAGTCTTGCATTCATGTAGAGGTTCTAAAAGCCAGATTACAGTCAGGATAACAATGAGTGAAAATCATAAGAAACCTTGATATCAGATAGCACAGAATTTTGGATTTGATTTTAAGACGGGAGAAAAATCTACACTTCCCACAGATGGTGGATTACAACTTCTAGCATCCTTTCCTATTGGTTTTGCTAGCTAGATTGATAGCATTGAGGATCCCACAACCTTTGGAAAACAATACTTCAGTTTTCATTCTCGTTTTTTTTAAATTTCTTAAGAACCTTGCCATGTATTTGAATGCTTCTTTTTCTAAATTTGTGTAAAAAAAGCCTGTAATATACTTTTCTATTTTATTTGTTTGACTCTAGGCATTTCTCAGTAACAATATTGTCTCTTCTGGGAGTAGAATTCTATATTGTTTAGGCCAAGCATTCTTTTAGTAAATGAAACTCTTATGCTAAGTCAGCCTTGTGGTTTCAAAATGCTAAAACATAATATAAATAGGAATTTTTTTGTGCAACATGATGCACCATCCAAGAAAAATATATTTAAATTTATTAACTGCCCAACTCCAATGGCCTTTATTTTTGCAAGAAACCATTCTTCAAAGCCAAACAGTAAAAAACAGCCCAATGAAGGAAGCACCAAGACCACTTTCACCAACACTGACAGAGTAAGCTACTAGTGTATAAAATCAGAGCAAATCCACTCCATACTAGTACTGATGTTACCTAGTCTGGTAATGAAACATCTGCAAGAAAACAACCTAGTTCAGAGAGCACCAAGGACTCCACAGTTCAACCCTCAGCTACAAATATTCTCTTCTTTTTATCTATGACAAAATTGCATGATGGGATAATCTTAATTTAATTAAAAATAATTTACTATTGGATAAATAATCTCTCATTGTTTTGGATCTACTCATTTGGAAGAAGCTGTTTATAGCCTTTGCAGTATTTATTTTGGTATACCTTAGAACAGGGGTCCCCAACCACCGGGCCCCAGACCGGTACTGGTCCGTGGATCATTTTCTACCGGGCCGCCGGTTTGCTGGGTGCTGCCATCTTGTTTCGACGAGAAAGTGCTTCCAGATGAGCTTTTCCGGTTGGAAAGCAGCGTTTGGGTCCTGAAGGAATCCTTGCGCCTTAGTTTCATCGAGGGGGGCGGCGGCTTCGAACGAAGAGCCGTCCCGATGGCTGAAGAGATTAAGAAAGCACAAAAAAGCACAAAAAAGGTACAAAGGAGGAGTTGAAGGTGGTGGGGGACAGCTGGCTGGCCGGTCGCTTGGCTCGCCTTGCCTTGTCATGCGTGCTGATGCCGGTACCGGGCCGCGGATCATTTTGTGATGCCGGTACCGGGCCGTGGCACAAAAAAAGTTGGGGGCCACTGCCTTAGAATACCTCTTGGCATTACAATATATGCAACTTAAGTATTTGTTATTTATTTGAATCTTTATCTGTTAACACTGCAGTTGTCAGAAGAGCTGGAAGAATCATTTGTGGCTCCTAAACCAGTAATCCTTCTTTGTATGAAGTTGAAGGAAATTGGTGAAATTTATATTATTTATATGATCTTTGGAATGCATGCTTAAATGTCCTATCCTATAAATCTGTGGAGAGTTGCATTAAATGTAAAATTAGCCGCCTATACTCTTAAAATGAATGTAGTGCGTTGAAAATTTGCTTTTTCTACGAGATGCCTCAAATAAAATTTAGCAAGGATTGGTCAGCTTTCCTGCTGATGGATATATAATTTAGGGGTTGGAGCATTTTCCCACATGGTTTGCTCTTGTCCTATTGTCCTGATGACAACTTTGGGTTAATCATGTTAAATACACATATATGCTTCTTTGGCATATTCCATTATTTGAAATCTAGAAAAAATTGTGAAAATTTTGGGCATGGAAATTGGTTAAATGAATTTAGGGTAAGGAGAAATCGATATCAGCCTTGCAAAATTGGATTGCTATATTTTTTAAAACGGGGGCAAGGAATACTATCAAGCAATATTATCAAAATTTGAATTGTTTGACATAATTTTCTGATCCTTATGTATTTGTGTATTACTGATCCTTATGTATTTGTGTATTACTTTATTACTCTATTACTATGCTTATGAATTTTAAAATATATTGTTCTTTTAATGCTTAAATATGCATTTGTTTCTTTTTGTTTAGTTTAGCAAAATAAAACTTATCGCTTCCAGATACAATTCAGATTTCTATTATTTATGAAGTTTACACAGCATAAAGCCCTGGTTACTGGAGGACTACCCTACTCCCACAGCATCTATCCAGCTGATTTGAAAACTACAGCGATGGCACACACCAATTCCCTTTTATTAATATCATAGTCTCCATTGGGATCCCAGAAGCACACCTCTGTAGTAGTACCTGTTTTCCGGAATGAGATCTCTTCCACCTGGAGTTCCATGCTGTTGTTTAAAAGGGCTAGAAAACCTGGCTCTTTGCTGAACAGTTTGGCCAGGGAGAGTGAAAACATTTGTCTGATTTTTTTAATTTTTATTTTACTGGTTATTGTTGTATTTGTGAACCACCGTGTGTGTTTGTGTGTGCGCACGCATACATGTGTAAGCTTGAAGTTTAAATAGGAATTACCAACTACTTTGTAATACTGCTTCATTCTATTGCACTTAAGAACAGGAATTAATATAATGTAGCTGATGTTGCATAACAACAATTGCAGCACCAACAAATGGGTTAAATAAAAAATCCTCTCACAATTAGGAGTGTCAGTTATTAGAATAAAGAAACAAGACATATGAGTAATAATATATTAATCCAGTATTTATAAACTGGTCTTGAACTTTGTTAGTGAAAGATTTTTTGCTTTTGTAAGTGACCTCAAATATCATTAAGTATAGTGTATTTAAGGCATTGAATCTATATCCCAAACTCTCATTATGAAATGCTTAGCACATACTGTATTTGGTAATGTCAGATAAGCATATACTAGCTTGCAAATATGACTGTACAAACATCTGAAACTAACAAAGTCAGGGCAGGATAAGAACATTTTTTTACAGAGCTAAAAACTATTAAAGGGACAGAGTAAATTATGCAGTACATTTAGAGCAAACCACAGCTTTGTTTTTTCAATAAAGCATCTTTAATTTGCATTATACAGAGAAATGAAAACATCCCTCTCCTTTTAAGAAATCACAAACAGTGAATATGAAAGGCTTGGCACTGAGAACACATACACACAATAAAAGGCAGGGGAAGGCGGAGACCAGGAAACGCCTGGACTTGAGGGTAGAAAAAGCACCTTGAATGTTTACATTTGCAATGGGTCAACTTAACCATCACTGTAAACTGCAGAGAAAGCATATATTCCTACTACAGGACAAAATCCGAAGGTAGAAAGCCAGCTTTTCAAAATGCTTGTGTGTAATTAAGAGGAACTTCAAAAGAAAAACTGCTTGTCAACAAATAGCCATGATACTTAGCAACTATTTATTGGACTATAGGAAGGATTTTCTTTTCTCCAGGGAGGTGAGTAAAGGCTTTTCTTAAAAGGCTATATTAAATAAAAATCTTTCTATATACAAAGACTTAATAGTATCATGTTATATCCTGGGAACAGTTGCTCTGAATAATCTAATCTCTGTACAACAGAGATGAAACAGCAGAATGGGGAATCGAGTGGAAGGATAAAAAGTCATATGTTTTACTGGCCATGTTAGCTCGTTTATTCGAGCCCTTGATGCAATAGTGGTCAAAACATACAATAAAAATAACATCGCAAACTTTAAAAATCTTAATAAAAAAAACGAAGGTATCTGTCACTGTCTGATACCATTCTGTCTGATGACCATTTCAGAAATTCAGCTATACTTTCAATAAGTTGCAGATTTAATCTTAGGTATAAAGGCGATTTTCTGCAAAAGATACTAGAGTAATACAAATGATAGCAGATGGCAAAGCTGAATAAGAGAATTAGAATTGCGGGAGTGTTCCCAATATTGCGACAGCTAGAACAGCCTTAACTGGTATGGCCATTGGAAATAAAGATTCTTGCCCCAAGAAATAGGTTGGACCTGGATATCCATATCTCAGAAAAGTTAAGAATATCGAAAGACATAGAAATCAAAATTGCCAGCCACCACTCACTTCAAGAAACAAGCAACGTAGGGTCTGGTGGTATATTGGGGCACTCTGCTCTAAGAACTTGTTTAGGTAGGGCACCTGCTGAGGAACAAACGGCTAATAAGGTGGCAGGGAAATCTGACAGTATCAAGAACTGAGCTGGAGAACTGTAGTTGCCATTAGATCAGGGCTATTTTAGAGCAAAGGATGGACAGCCTGTGTCCTACACATAGCTTTCCATTGCTCATGCTGGTGAAATTAGGTAGCAGAACCACCGGTTTTCAGTGGCAGGGTTTTAAAAAAAATAATAATGATAAGTGTAGCTGCATAAGGCCTCAGAGAAAATTATATGTATCCATTTACATAAAGGCCTCCATCCTCTTCTCCAGTTTAGGCAGAACATTTCGACCCATCTATTCTGGCAATGTCACTGCATTACCAGCTATGGATTCTGCAGCTGTTGGAGTGCCATTTAAAACAAAACACAAGACTTCATGGCCCCGGTCATGAAATTGTTACCTACCCCTGCATTAGAGGGATTACTTCCTACCGTATTCCCCCCTCCCTTTTTTAAGCTGATCAGGATTTGCACACAAAGGTGGAGGGGAGAAGAGAGACTCTTCATTACTGACTTAATGTGAAACCAACAATAATTTAAAATGATTAGAAACATCCTGAGCTGTACTGTGGGGAGTACAGAACGTTAAGCTCTAGTTCCTAATAATAATAATTCATCTGCCATAGAAAGCCTGCAAAACCAGGCACGAGGACAACACTAATACCCTTCTGAACACAAACGAGTCCACCACTGTTGTCTCCCAGGCAGCATCCCAAAATTACAGTCCAACTCAATATGGATATGCCCCTCTCAGGAAATAACTTCCCCATAATGGTCAACAAAAGTAGGAGTTCCAACCTAGTCAAAGATGCAGCTGTTTGCTTGTCTATTCCAGGAAAAGCAGGAATATGGAAGTAGCAGGTGATGCACAAACAACAAGCTTAACTTGCTCCAGGAAGGGCACTCAGTCCAACAGGTAACTCTGGCTTCTGCAGTGCAGACAAGATGTGCCTATGTAAAGTGATTGGCCAACAACGGCTCTGCACAATGGCACGAGATCTTTCCCTTATTTGGAGCACTGAGAAATGCTGGTGTGAGTCAGAAGCTGACCAGATCAGGACACAGATTGTGTTCCAGGCCACTTTCTCCAGTGGTGATAGCCTGGATGGATGTGACATGTCCAATACCTTTGGTAACTCCTTCACGAAACAATAGTTTGGCTCCTATCTTCAAATATTCAGGATGTTTAATGAATCTGAAACGAACCACTGCCTTTTCTCCTGTTCGCAATTTGTCCTGAACAAAAGGAAAAATATTTTTAGAATTTTAAAAGTTCAATTACTTTTAGGGATTCCAGAAAACCATGGAAAGCAACTTAGCATACCCTCAAGTTTTTGCGGTGGGTTTATCTGTGAAAGTATCCCTTTGGATAATAACAACAAGAAGAATCCCCCTTTATTTTGTAATACTCAAGGGTTGCACATGTGGTGCTCGCAACTTATATTTTCCACAAAACACCACTCCAATGTTGGATTGAGAGAGCCAAATCCGTTTCCATACCTAATGAAAGTTTAGAACTGAGGATTTCCTGGTTTCTAGTTCAGCAAGGGGCTTACCCTCAAGGGTAGGCCTTAGAGTGATTGTGACACAAGTGAGAAGACAATCAAGCAAATTTCTATTTAGCAAGAAAAGGGAAATTTACCTTCCCATGGATCTTTTCCACAACTGCTGTTTGCCGTACATTTCCAACATGTGCTGTTACTTGGAATCCTTTCCGGAAAGTTGTGGCATGGAACAGTAGAACAATTTCAGCTTCAAATACTGAACAAATAGTTGGATTCATCTCTGGGCTGACCATCACCATGCCCTAGATGACAGCAAGATTGGGTAACTGAATTTTCTTGGCAATGGTGCTCAACTCTTCCAAAACTAAAGCACTACAGATTACAATCTTTCCAGAAAGAAATCCTTATTTATTGCTCCGAAAGCCAAAGAAAGAAGGAGAGATAAGAATGTGGACACAAGAAATGAGTGGGAAAGATCTAACAGCTGACTAATCCTGCTTAGAATTCAATCTAATTATTTCTTGTTCTTTTGAAACTCAAGACAACCACCTTAATGCTACAGTTCCCAGTTTTCCCATCCCTTGAACTTAAATTTTATGGCATAAACTGAGAAGAGTTTATTATCTAAGAGTTTATTATCTAAGAGTTTATTATCTATCTATTATTTATTATTTTGGACTGTCCTCAAAAGCAGACAGTCCAGAGGAACCCAGCTCGCTATTGTAAGGACCTGCCTCAGCTACATTCCCAAGAAAGTAAAACTCTTAAAGAGTTTATATTTCAAAATGAACTTTTACTGAGAGAAAATGATTGCAGAGAAGTCAGGCAGAATCTGAATTCAAGAATTAAGTGTTAGGCTCAATTTCCCCCTCAACCCCTACCCTTAATGCCCTGTTATCCATCTCTAACCAATAACCTGCTGCAAAAGTGTTGTGAGAATCTCCAGGGCTGGATGGTGAGAAGAGGTTGTCCTCGGGGCACTGCGGCTGGAACTGGCAGAGAGGCAGTCAGTGCAGATGGCCAATTCTCCTCCCCCTCAATTCCCAAGCAAAGCAAAAGCATGCAAACCATTCCACCCATGGTGCTTTTCCTCCTCTCCAGAATGGCAGCGTTCTGATAGGGACCTCTATTTCCCAATATCCATAAAGCAGGATGTTTTGTTTTCAGAAAAGGTACAGAAGGAGAAGGTTTTTTACAACCAAAGACAGAGAGGGATTAAGGAGGAGCTTACTTTGCGTAGCAGTGAGCGATCAAAGAGGCCAAGAGCTAGGGTGGCAGCCTGCCCAGCTCGAAGGACACGACACGCTGAACGATTTCGTTGGATGCTGCATACTTTCAGTTGAAGGAACTTGCCATCATCTGTTGGACCAACAACCAAATTCTCTCCCTCTTTGCATATCCCACTAGCAAGGGCATAAAATGAAGATGACCGTATTTAGCTGTCAGGAGGGGAGAAAAGCCTTCTTGTGTCTAATTGAGATAATTAACTTGATGCAGGTTCTTTACTCTTGAAATATGAAAAATACCAAAGAGAAAATTTGGATCTGATATTCCAGAGAATAAGTATTTATGCTATATGCTCAAAGAACATAGGACTTGTTTAGGGAATACTTTTACTTTTTACTGGAGTGCAGTTTTGCCTTCCTTGACTCATTCAGTAAGATTTAAATTTTTACCTACATTTACCTATAACACGAAAAGGAGAATAAATGCTACTTCCTGGTCCTTCTTCTGGATATAAGAAGTCTTTGACACCACTCCCTACCCATCCTGGTTTTTTCTTACAAAATTCGTATGTACCAACCTTGATAGTGTTCCTCCAACAACTGTGCCTACATCTGGCACAGTGTAAATTTCATCCACCTGTAGCAGAAAAAGAATGGAGGTTTCAAATATGTTGTGCTGAACTGTGATACTTCAAAGCCCGAGTTAACAATTTGACGCTTTTATTCTCAGACATAACAGTACAAGTTCTTGTATAGGAATTCTAAGCCTTTAACGTTGTCTTCCTTACACCAGTTGCAAGCCTCAAGCATCCCAGTTCTCAGTAAACCAATTACATTGTGCAAACATTTCCCAGGTTCAACTCATAAAAGAAATAACCTGGGAGTCAATTCAATGATTGGTAGGACGTTAACAATGAGATTAAATGAAGAATGGTAAAGACAAATAAAGGAGGAGGAAGAGCTACGGTGGAACAGAATGTAGTACTGCAGGCTGACCCTGCTAACTGCCAGGAGTTTGACCCTTACCAGCTCAAGGTTGACCCATCCTTCCATCCTTCTGAGGTAGGTAAAATGGGGATTCTTGGGGGCAATATGCTGACATTGTAAACCACTTAAGAGGGTGCTGTAAAGCAGGGGTCGCCAACCTTTTGGACCTTAGGGACCACCAAACTCATAATTTTAAATCCCGCAGACCAGAGACCCTGGGAAAATCCCCCAAAAATGTCTGCAGGAAAATTCCCCACTCCATTTTCCAACCAATCAACCATTCTTTATTTGGGATCGCAGGATACATATCCAGTTCCGTTCTTGGGGCGGGGGGGGGGGGGGGGGAGGGAGAGAGGGGAGAGGGGAGAGAGAGAGAGAAACTGACTGACTTGACTTTTGGCTTCATGTAAGGAAAACAGCAGAAGCAGCAAAATGGCTTTCTCTCCCACAAACTCCGCCAGAAATGAGTCTTTGTGAGACTTGTGCCGGCACAATCTCTTGGAGCAAGAGGCCTTGCAGGGTCCCAAAAGCTTATTTCTGGCAGAGTTGGGGGGAGAGAAAGAAAGACTTTTGCTTCTTTCCTTGCATGCAGCCAAAAGCAGAAGAAGCGGAAAGAAGCAGCCCAGTGGCCAGGCCAGGCACGTGGAGTGAATGGGGCAAGTTCCCCTCCTCTGTCCTTTTCCCCCTCCCCTCACTACTTCATGTTGTTCGCAATGCAAGCAACGCAAGCCTTGTGTTCCCACGGGCCATGTGGGTGGCATAGCCTTGTGTTCCCATGCAGCCTGGATTAATTGCTTTGGGGAGGACATTTCTCTGCAGACCACCAAAATTTTCTCACGGACCACCAGTGGTCCCCGGCCCACTGGTTGGCGACCATTGCTGCAAAGCACTATGAAGCAGTATTTAAGCCTACGGGCTACTGCTATTGCTAAATAATAAATCACATTAATTTGTCTTTGAATCAGAAAGTAATTACAATTGCTTGGTTTTAACATCCCCCAGACTATAAATCCATGAATCAGAGAATACCCTGCCTTCGCATACTACAGCTGGAGACTCTCAACTGAGAAGAGACTATCGTGTACCTGGAATTCAGTGAGCTGTTGCATCAGCTCTTCCTGTTCTTTGCTGTTTGTCAGAGGAGGAAGGATATTGAGAAATACTCTCAGGAGATCCAGGTTCTCTCCAGAAACACTGGACAAGGTGAAGATGGGAGTGATACTGCAAACAAACGAGTGAAAGAAGCTGGTGATCCATGACATTGGGCATCCCTATTAGTACTGAATACAATATGAATGAGATTGGATTCCACATGTGTTAAGTGGAATAATGTGTAAATAATTAGGGTACAACAATTTCTGTATCCTATAATTTTTACAGAATCAAAACCTGTACAGGCTTTGACTTACAACTGGTCATTTATTGGTGAATTAAGATGGACTTCAAAAAGGTTGATTGCTATCTGTCCTCAAAGTTACAACAGCTGCACCACCCATGTTCGCATTTCAGGTGTTTGGCAACTGGCCTGCATTTTTGACTGTCTGCAGGATCCTGCCTTTTACAATCTTTTCACCATTTTTCAGCAAACCTATCCATTGGATAAGCTGGATTCAGACTTATGACCATGTAACTCACTTAGCAACCATCATAAAACTGGTTATAAAATTGAATCCAGTCAGGTGGCGATTCAACTTATGACCGCAATGACTTAAAATTCCAGGTGCAGTTGTGATCAAGTCAAGGACTACCTGTATGCCCATAACTGTTCCAATCCTAAGTATGCAGCATAGCTGCAGATGATCAAAGGCATCTGAAGCGTCCAATGTTTTCTCAAAACAATGAAGCAAATCTTGAGACAGTGTGACAGAAGCTCCTTGAGTGCAATATCACAATATAAAAGGGGTGGGGCTTGCATCACAATGGCAGAACACTCGTTTCATCACCTGTTCTCCTCCAGTTCCATAAGTCACTTCTGCAGACTATCCAGTTATTATATGTAAGCTATCCCGCAGTATAAAAATCATCCCTAAGAGTAAATACTATAAAATCAAAACAGCCTACTCTCAAAGCAGAGAGTGAAGACATAAAAGCAAAGAATCACTTGAACTTTGCTTATTGTTCTTCGATATCAACCAGTGCCAGCTCCACAAACCTGACTCACTCATACCTTTCTTGCTAAATGCATCATTTTGAAGGTGTGTTAGTTTTAAACCGCACCCATACTTGCTAATTATCTTCCCTCCCATTCAAACGAAACCGTGATTCGTACTTGGGGGATTGTGCAAACTGTTGCGCTGCTGTAACTGCATCATCATCAGATGTTACTAGCAAGGGAAGTTTGTTGCAGCCAGGCTGCTTCAGAATTCGCTCCAGCTGTTTCACTGTTCGCTCCACAGTGGCCTTTGAGCACAAGTCCACTTTGCTAATGACGATGAAGAAAGGCACCTTAAGGGCCATCGCCAAGCCGAGATGCTCTCGTGTCGTACCAGCTGTAAGACATAGAGGATAAGAGAAAATCAAATTAAAAAGGTAGGACTTCAGGGCAGCTGAAACACATAACTCAATGCCCTTTGTTTGAAACCAATGGAAGCATTTCTATGTTACTGTGGATGAATCTTAATTTAAACTACTGGTGCCCACTGGCTAACTATAGGCATTATGTCACCCTTCTGTAACCCCAAGGAGAACTCTGACCATCCACTTACCAATTCCGGTATTGGCACTCACCACCAGCATTGCAAAATCTGGACAATAGCTTGTAAGCCCAAAAATGGTGGTTTTTAAATATTTGTGATGGCCAGCTAAATCAATGAAGGTAATCATTTTGGAAGAGCTTTCACAGATTTCTTCAGCTGTCCGTGAATCACTATAGTTTACTACCTAAAAGGCAGAAAATGCAGGTTACGGAACTCTTATAAAAGCCCAAGTAAAAATTCATATCCAGAGGTATCAAATGATAAACTCGGTCTACAAATACGCATACCTCTCCCTTACTGTTGAAACCAAGAATTTCGAAGCTAATGCTAGATGTTCTTCCTGACTGGATCTCATGCAAGTGCCGGAAGAGGTTGAGTCGCGCCCGGCCTCGCCCATTATCTAGTTCTCCTTGTGTCAAGACGCCTAATAAGGTTGATTTGCCTGAATCCACATTTCCAAGCACAGCCACCCGCAGATCTAAAAACTTAAAAGAAAATTGAGGAGTTATTTTAAATTGTTCATCTTGTTGAAAAGATGAACTGATAAGTGCAAGTTAGGCTTGACTACTTTGCAGATCAATGCATTAAGGATACCAAATTTCACAAAGTTTGTATAATTCTGAAGTATTTACAATAAAGAATTCCCAAGAATTTGGAATTTACTACTTTGCACAAGATAAGAAACTGAGTTTAACACTTTCTATCAAGACATTCCTATCAATTATAGCTCTTCAAAATCGAGACAAATATAGCAATCTAGAATGAAATATTTTCAGTTTTTCTCTCACGGTGTTTAAATCAGGTCAATTTTTACCTGTTGGTTATCTGGGACCTTTCGGACAAGAACCTCTGTTATCTTCCTGGGAATGTCACTGTCATAATCCACTTCTCTTTCTCGAAGCACAGTGATGTCAGCTCCCACTCTGCAAAAGGCAAAACAGAACACTGTTGGGGGTTAGTGAATCATCTGCAATCCCCAGCAGGACAAATATCTGGTTATCTTATGATGCTGCTCAGAAAAGCCTCTCACAGTTAAACAATACTGAGGAAAATGTTTGTATTTTCAAAATGATCTGATATTTATCCACATGAATGTGCATCTTTGCCAATTTTGGGGAGGCACCATTGCCCTTAAACATTTTTGCACAGATGTCAAAAGAGTTCACTCATTATAAGATCTGTAATAATTTGGCTTTATCTAGATCACCAGATATGACAACTGTTCCACTAATTACATGTTGCCCACAGCAGGACATGTAGAGATAAAACTTTACCTAAATGAGGCTGAAGCTGGGTGGGGGGGAATGACAGCTATAGTAAGGCTACATAACTGTCATTTGTACTAAATCTAATTAAGGTAAATGCTAATTGTATTTCTGAAACATATCAGGAATGGATCTCTTTCCAACATGAGCAAGCATCCACTCCCCAAATGAATGAATGGGGACACTTCAGCCCTAACCCTCTCCCTACTCAGAATACACATGGTCATGATTGTTGATAACATAACTTCCTGTCATCTTGACAGGAGAATCTCATGAAAACTACAGAGAAAATTGCCTACATTAGACAATCTTTGTCAAAAAATTGCCAAACCTTCCTGCCAAACTCTGCCCAACCTATATATTTATAGTGACCCCGTTCATTTACAGTCCCCTCCTCCCAAATATGACACATGGCCTTTGCCCATCAAAAGGCTGCCCAACCCCAGTTGAGTGTAATGGCACATAATAAAATATACATAGCCACACACAAACTTTTTACAATTGAAACAATTAGTAGGTACCGTACCCATGTGGTGGTACTCTGAGAAAAATATCTTACTGAAACCATCTCCTCTGTTGGCTTTTAGCTGAATTTCCAATATTAAGTCTACCTATGACAGCAAAATAACAGAGCACACCATTGGCTAACTCTGGCCAAGAAGCAGGACAGGTGCACATACTTCTCGGCCATCCGCCGTAGCGTTTTAAGAGAGGCGTGCATTTCTTCTTCAGACAGTCCAACAAGCAGCCCGTTGTCCTCTACACCAATCTGGTACACAGCCTCACCACGGCCTTCTTGTAGTCGCCACTTCATTTGCGTTACTAGGTGTTCAAAGCGGTACTGAGATGGGTTAACTAATTTCAGCTGTCCAAAGAAAGAAGTAATTATAATCAGCATCCAAAGAGGTCTGATGGGGCTGAATATTTTTTTTCAGTATTTTCTGCATAATACTTTAACATTTGTTAAGCCAACAAGACTAACAATTTTTCAAAGGCACTCTAAAATAATTGAATAATATGTTTTTGTATAAATTTAATAATACCCAGGTTCAGTATTCAAGTATGAAATAGCCAACACATCTATAAATAATGTTTTGGCAAAAATCATTTTTATTTGTATGTTATTTATTTCTCTCTTCCTAGACATGGAACTTACAGAATCATTTAGCTTTGAACTCTTAAATGGCTTTATGAGAGACTCACCTTGTATTCTATGTTCCCATCTTCTGCCTATATACAAGAAGAAGAGATCTGACATTAATGGATAATGTGGTGTTCAACATTTCATATATAAAACCTGCCATCTCTTTTGACAACTAAATATAGTTGCCAGAGAGCAATGACAGACTAGTTTAAATTATAGCAGTTAAATCAAGTCACTTAACATCATGGTTCTTTCATCTTTATACAAATGATGAAGTTGCATTGAATTTATTTATTCAGTTCAAACATAATTAACAAGACAATATTTAACCTTAAAACAAATACAAAATACAAACTAAGAAAGAAAAGAAAAATATAAGAAAAACTTAGAAGATATTCATATTTTATACTTATTATATCTGGTTTACTAATGAATTCATTGCTATATGACCAATATAACATATTGTTCAAAGACCTCACAAACTCTCTGCCGTAGTATCACATATTGTTACATTCTTTATTAGAAAATACTTTTTCCAAAACAGATTAAATCCTACATTACCAAAAACCATTCTTTGATATTTCTCAATATAATTCCCATAGCCATTCCCAGGCAGGAAAATTATGTATCATTCATTTTGTTCAAAGTACCATTTTTTACATGCATCTAAAGCAATTTATGCACTAATGTAAATGCCACAAGAATTCAATAAGGATTTTAACCAAGCTACAAACTTGATGTGGGTCAAGGAATGGATAACATTAAGAAATACTAGATTGTTGACATTAGAAGGACATGATTTGTTGTTGGGGTGGCACGCTTTTTTATGGTACAAGGGAACTAAAATACAGGGGTATTTTAGAAGACATCATATACGGGAGTCTTTGTGGTTAAATTGGGAGAAGATTAAAAGACAATGTTATTTGAAAATTTCAGTCTGCTTATCGACTATTGAAGCATTTTCCTATCCTATAATATACAAGAAGGAACAAACAGATATGGGGAAATATTGAATGAAAAGGGTGAACTTAAATCTATACAAAAACTAGAGGAACAAGGTATAAAGATGAATTGGTTTTCATATGCGCAAATACATTCAAGGTATGATAAAGATTTTAAAACAGAAGGTTTCTATGATAAATTGACTGATCTAGATAAGATTTTGACAGGTACTGATGAAAAGGTGATTAAAAAACTGTATGGATATTTATTAGAAATTAAACTAGAAGAAGAACAAGTTAAAGAAACTATGATTGTTTGGAGGAAGAACTTTGGATATGGGATTGATTTAGAGAAATGGCAAAAATTGTGGTCTCAAAATTATAAAATGACAATGTCAACAGCTTATAAAGAAAATTTGTACAAGATGTTTTACAGGTGGCATTTCCCCCCCGACAAGAATAGCAAGAATGTTCAAAAATAAATCCTAAAAATGTTGGAAATGTCATCAGACACCTGGCTCATATTACCATATGTGGTGGACTTGTGCGGACGCTAGAAAATACTGGACTAAAATCCACATGTGGTTGGAAAAAATGACAAAAAAACATATAGACTTGAAACCAGAGATATTCTTACTGGGAATTTTACCTGATACATATAGCAAAGATTCGAAATACTTGATTGTAAATGTATTAACAGCAGCTAGGATTGTATTTGCTAAAAACTGGAAAAATGAGAAAATACCATCGCAGGAGGAAATCATTAAGAAAATATTGGAATGTGCTGAAATGAGTAGATTGACATTTGAAATTAGAGAACAAGAGGATAAACAATTTTATAAAATTTGGGACCTTTTCTACCAATGGTTAGATAATAAAATACAGTAATGAAATATGTAGATTTTTAGAAAATAAATATATAAAGATATACTTTTTTAAAATTATATCTACAAAATGTTTTTAGGATAGATTTGGGAGGATAATATGAATTCTTATAAAATAAACTGAGTAAATTATGGTTATCTCATAAAATACGAATGAATAAAACTATAGTCAAATGATTGATTAATAATACTAGGGTATTCAATTTTTGATTGATAATATGAGCTATTATGCAATGTAACTGTAACTGAAGACTACGAAATGGATGCACAAAATAATTTGTAAACCAACCGGCACACTGCTTGTATACTTATGGAAGAAAGTTTGATGTTTTTATGTTTTGTTTGTTTTTAAAAACCAATAAAATTTACAAAAAAAAAAGAATTCAATAAGGATTTTAATAAAATGTTTCTACCAACTGTAATAAGTCAAATCATGCAGAAAGCTTCAGAAATCATCTCATAAATGACAGACAAGTTTTAAATAGACTCTTGACTCTCACTCTGTTTTCATGAATCTCTTTCAAATACCTTTTGGTTTTCTGTTCTGGTATCATTCACTAGACATTTTCTTTAGAAATAAAGGGAAGCCACAGTGGTGCAGTGGTTAGAATGCAGTACTGCAGGCTACTTCTGCTGACTGCTGGTGGCCGGCTGTCTGCAATTTGGCAAATTGAATCTCATCAGGCTCAAGGTTGACTCAGCCTTCCATCCTTCCGAGGTGAGTAAAATGAGGGTCCAGATTGTTGGGGGCAATATGCTGACTCTGTAAATTGCTTAGAGGGCTGTAAAACACTGTAAAGCGGTATATAAGTCTAAGTACTATTACTAAATACCGTAATTGACATGAAGTACAGCTTGTACATTGGTTTTGTTGAATATTGGTTTTTATATCTTGTCTGTAAATTGTTATTTGGTTTTTTATATTGTTTTATGATTTTTATATGTTTTAATGTATTTTCCTTTTTGTATTGCTTTTATTTGTTGTAAACTGCCCAGAATTCATGCATTTCAGATGGGCAACTAAAAATAAAACTAATTTGTTTGTCTCGATTGGTAATTGATGTGTTATTAAATATAACTGAAGACTATCATAAACAGGAAAATTGGAGAACTGACGAGAGATGAACAATTCTACACTTTGTTCACCACTAATCAAATTTTTGCATTAACATACTTTATTTGGCTCCCATCCCAAAGGTGTTCTGCTATACATTGTCAAACAACTCTAGCAAATAACTAATGTTCCTCATGACCTGAGCATAATGTTAAGCGAAAAATAGTCAGTGTGAACTATGTCATGGTGGATCTAAGGAACAATAGTTCTTCTAATCTTAACAAGTTATGCCAATATTTTTGCATAAAATATTTCTCTCTGGTTGTAATAGTGAACACTTAAATTACTCATAAAACGTATAGTAAGAAAGTCCATAATCTTTCTCTAAAAACAGGTATGTGACTTTGCTTCATATCCTGCTGGCCTTGAATTAGGAGAGGGAGCTTTTATATACTTTTAATACCTTTTAATACCTAGGAATTCAAAGGGAAGCATTATAAATCAGATTAACAATAACATAAAATGTATCTACTCAAGTTTAATTGCTTCCTAAAACAATTAACCATTTTAGATCCAACATCATTCTCTCTTTAGCAAACTTTCCTTCCTATATCTAAAATTCTTTCCACGTAGTGTACTATTTTCAAGCTCAAAGCCTAACTATGGTGTAAAAGGGCTGGTGACGGGAAATACTTATCAAAGAATATCCTGCAATTAGACACTCCAACTTTGGAGATTAGACTAAATAATTTATTTACACAACACAGGTTTATTAATAGAGCATTATTCTGCAATGTATATAAACACACACATCCAAATTCATGAAAGTTAAGAAATTATGCCTACAATACAAATTAGCAGTGTTGAAGGAACACTAATTAACCACTGGGTTGCTGCTGAAGTGAGGAAGGAAAAACAGGTTTGGACATGCCCAGCAATACTTCATGCTGTTAACTGAGGACAAAAAAATAGTGCTGTAACACTGAAAATTCAGGGACAGTATAAAGAATAATTCTTATCTTGGTACTTGGAAGAACTCAGTGTTGTAAAATATGAAGCAAAATTTTGAATAAAAGTAGTTATTTTCATGTCTTAGATCACATAGAAAGTATAATACTGGCATAATCGCTGGCTATAAAAAAATCATACTGCACATCCACATCATATAAATAACAAAAAGCAGGTTTAGCGGCGTAGGCCTGGGATTATGTTGGATTTGTGATTATATGAACTTTTTTCAGCCTTTCATTAAATTCCATTTTCTACTTTCATATACTAATGCCTAGTTTGCTAATTTGACTTTTTATATGATCAAAGCAAGCCAAATTTTTGTGGTAAAGTATTTTTAAAAAGGCTACTTAAATTTAAAAATTAAAAGCATCCTCATTTAAGACCCTGTTCAAAGTATGTGGGTTTAAAGATCTTTAAAATCTTGAAAAAGGTCATCTGTTCGATTTGATAGCCCCAATATGCCACCAAATGCATCAAGGAAAACCATAGGTGAATAATTTCAAATTATCTCAATGAAAGAAATAATACCAGCACTTTTTATCTCACTCAGAAACATATTCTGAGATCTTACATTTCCCTGTATATCATACAATCTTAGATTGCAGGGAAACATACAACTTATAACTTTTCTAGACATTCATATCCACAAATGCCCAAATCTTATATAAATTCATAAAATCTTCTCCATATTGATTACTATAATTTATTATAATCTGTAGATGTATAGAGGTGTCTATGCATTGTTTTCTAGTGAGTCTATTGAACCATGTAGTTTGCTATCAGCTACACTTGCCTTTACCATTAACAGAAGGCTGGTTTTGAGGATGGGCTAGAAAATTAGCATAAGGATATTAGAATTAGGATATTCCCACTATCTAGAAAAGAGCTCACTGTTCAGAGCCAAAGATTTACAAAGATATATGCCAGTAATTTCAACTGAAATTATTTTAGACCCTCGATTTCGAAGCTTCTTTCCAAATTTGATTGGCTGGCTACATATCCAGGAAGAAGCACAAATGTAATTTAAATGCAATTTTAGTGAATCAGCATCAGCAAAAGGAGAAAGAAGGAAACAAAAACTGAAGTCACTTTTGCTTTCCCTAGTCCCAAAACTTAATACTCTCCCTCAAAGCGAAGCCAAGCTCCAAGTGCCTGCGACATCTGCTAGACTAGAGCGAGGCCGGCGGCGGAGCTGTCAGAGGGAAGAGTTCTAAGCCACATCAGTCAAAGGACCCCCGAATGGACTCGAAGAGGGGGTGTGAAAAGACCAAAAACGAAACTCGGCGGTGCGTTCACCACAACAGCACTTTTTACACCCCGACAAGAGGTTGCCCTCTTGGGAGGCGTCGATTCTTCCTCTAAAACACGAACCAGCTCTTTATTTTGCCAGCAAATCCCCTTCAACGCTGGCAGCTTCACTCCCATTGACTTTCAACTATCAGCATCTTCGTCCCAGGCAGAACCTTGGAAGACGGGCGCCCTCCGCTTCGTGCTCGAAAAAGCTCCTGCCGACCCAACCTCGGGCTCAGCAGGCTCCCTCGCTCACCTCCGGAGGAAGGTAGGGCGGGTTGTTGGCCTTGCCACCTCGGTATCTCCCGTTCTTCTTCCTCCCCTTGGAAGAACCGCCGCTGCCGCCGCCGCGGCCTCGCAGGGCACCCCCGTTGCCGCCGCCCCCCACGGGCCGGCAGCAACCCCCAAACAGCTCGGACACCCGCGAGTCCATCCTGGGGCCAGCCGGCAGGACCTCCGCGGCTGCGGCTGCCTCTCAGCCCGAGACTGGGTTTTTGACGGCTACCCTCCACTCTGGCGCTTGGCGTCAGAAAGAAGCGCAGGGTACCACGGGAAACAGGGCCCCAGCGGCAACACAATTGGACTACAACTTCCAGCGTCCTCTTTCCCGTGGAAGGCGGCGCTTTTCGGACAAATGCGGAGGCGAATGGGACTGGGGCCAGAGCCTTTCTCTGATCATTTTGCCCAACGAGAGCCGAGTTAGTTTGTGCTAGGCAACCAACGGGGGATCCTGGTAGCATTGCAAATTGCATTAAAAGGCATAAGCTTCCGTGCCACTAGGCCTCCGTTTTTTGTTTTGCTTCCAATTATTTCAGTTCTCTGAACAGAACGCAGGACTGCAACATCAAGCAATCTCGGGGGCGATGAAATTAATTGTAGGGTTTGTGTAGCGTCTCGAATAAAAACATCCCAATAAAATATTTACGTCTGCTTCAGCTTTTACTGTTGTATGCTTTACAGCAGGAGCAAGCTCCTAAGATATCATTCAACTTTGGAGTCCTAAGAAATGTGCGATTTATTATAATAAAGCCATTTTCCAGACAGAATTAGACCACAATTTAAATTAAACATCATGTTTTGTGTTGTATGCTAAAAATGCAAGATTTGTTTCCTGCATCTTAATTCTAATCCTGAATTCAATTTTTTTAAAATACTAATTTTCACGAGAGAGATAGAAGAAAATGTTATTACATTTTACATTGCAGGCATAAACATATTCACCTTTAAATTCACAACTTACATTAATTATATATGTTGAATTATTAGGGTCAGTTATCACATATTTCAAATGACTAGTTCTATCTATTGTTTTGTTTAACTGATTCTTATTAATGTATCTCCAACCATCACAAAAGTAGTGACTTTCAAAAAATATGTAATTTCACATAATTAAATAGCAAGAAAAAAACCCTTAATTTTTCCAATACAGTTTCCAGTGGAATGTTTTTCATAGTATAATCTTTGTTTTGTATTTTACCCCTATGTTCCTTTTTATTGAAATATGTGACTGTGTCATATGATAAATATGTTTCAATTGCCTTGATAGCTAGCAGTAATACATTATAAACAGCACAACAGCATATTTGTACATTTGTGTACAATATAATTTCAGTAACAAATAATATCCATAAAGTTCACAGATTTAATTCCCCAGTTTAAATCAAAAGCACATATGTTTTAGCCTAAGAGTAGTTTAGTTACAAAAGCAGCTGAATTATTCTTTCATGTGGTCAGAACAGATCCTTCTCCCACTTTAGTTAGTGGATTATTTTATTTACAAATATAGTCAACAGCCTCATGTAACAACCTCAATATGAGATTGCTGTTGGATATTGCCAACATGTTGCATCAGTTGGAATGAATTGCCTCTTATAAGAAATACATTGCCTCAGATTCAACTGACTATATACAAAACACTGCATGATTAATGTATTATGAAAATGATGTAGAAATACTGAAAGCATTACTCATACTACCCAGTGCAACTCAAGTTCAACTGCTACCTGGGTTTTCAGTTGCAATCACACCATCCTTTTAAAAATGCACAATGCTTTATAAAATTCAACTTTTTTCTCAGAACTTGTTCAAGGAAGTTTGTCATCATAATGAAGTGATGGGAAGAATGTCCCAAGATTCTCCTATCCCAATATATTTTAAAGTAATAAATAACGGCATACCTCTCAAAATATTTATTATGCACAATGGTCTCAGGTAGCTGTTAAAAAGTTAATCCAGGAGATCCTGCTTATATCTACGATTATTAACTTTCATTTGGGCAAAATTGTATCTTTTAAAACGTGGAGATTTAAGTTAAGTGCGGACATACAATGGAGGCAAATTCGCTTTTTGTGTTTTCCTGGAAACGTGGGGAGTCATCTTACTTTCGGCAGATATTTGAAGATCTAAACTTAGCAACAGAGGCAAACGCGTTTCCTCCACTAAGTCCCGCTTTTGAGTCACCGCCAAAGTTTAAAAGTTTGTTTGGGGGCGGGGACAATCAAGACAGTTCTTCTAAGGATCATGCAAATAGCTGCTCTTAGACCAGTGTTGGCTTCCCCGCGTAGCGTCTATATTTTAATCATACCATAAAGTCAAACATCAAGAGAAGGCGGACGAATGAGACTGAGCAGCTTGACCATTTCAGAAAAATGTAGCCCAGGGATCTCCAACCTTGGCAATGTTAAGACTTGTGGACTTAAACTGCCGGAATTCTGGGAGTTGCAGTCCAAAATCTTAAAGTTACCAAGATCTGAGACCCCTTATCTAGCCCTTACAAGGCAACGGCGCTCAACTTACCCGAGACAAAGATGGCGCAGGGAGACTCGGCCTGCGCTCTAATGAAGAATGGACGATATTCCCATGATGCTCCGTGAAGGCAGCCATTCAAAGTTGGCTGAGGAATTCTGGGAGTTGAAGTCCACAAAGTCTTAAAATTGCCAAGATTGGAGACCCCTGAATTTTAGCCCCACACAAGGCAAAACTGCGCTCAACTTACCCGAGACAAAGATGGCGCCGGGAGACTCGGCCCGCGCTCCAATGACGTCCGGGCGATATTCCCATGATGCTCCGTGAAGGCGGCCATTCAAACCGGAGTAAAGGCGAAGGCTCAGAAAATGGCCGCGCCGATAGCAACGCAACGAGAAGGTGAGGCTGCAGCGCCACCCGGGTGCGGTTCCCCCCCCCCTCTTCTCCTTTCGAGGAGTCTTGAGTGGGGGGGTCTCCTTGAACAAGGCTTCTTCTTTCCTCTCCTCGGGCCTTTTCCTTTCGTTCTCGGGCAAGCAAGAGGAGCAGCCGCACACTTAAGTTTACCTCCTTCTCCTCCCCTCTCTCTTTATTGCAGCGGACCTGCTGAAGGCCGCCGAGACAAGCCTAGAGCTCGGCGAAGCCGCCACCGTGTCTGTGACTGTGGCGCTGACGACCCAGCCGGCGGCTCCGGCTTCTGGAGGCGCCTTCCCGTTATCTGTCGTCTTTCCGGGCTCCGTCACCCGCGAGGGATGTTTCCGTTTCACCTGCGAGCTTTTAAAGCACATCCTGTACCAGAGACAGCAGCTGCCTTTGCCTTACGAGCAGCTCGCCTGCTTGTGCAGGATGCAGCTGCCGAAGCCCGCCAGCCAGGTGAGATACTGCGGGTTGGGGAACGGTGGTTGCTGCTGCTGCTGCTCCCTTTGCGTGAATGGAAGGACGGGCCACTCCTCGCTCCCTTGCTCGCTCGGCTTTTGCTTGAGGCCAGAAGGAAAGCGGCATTGGGCCCTAATGATGGTTGGTTTGTGTTACTCCCCGATTTACAACAGTTCCTTTAGTGACCGTTCAAAGTTTATAACAGCACTGAAAAAAGGGACTTATGACCACATTTCACACGTATGACCGTTGCAGCATCCCCAGGGTCATGTGATTTACATTCAGATGTTTGATTTCACATTTATGATAGTTGTGTCCCCAGGTTCATGCGATCCTCCTTTTGCGACCTGACAAGCAAGAGTCGAAGGGGAAGCCAGATTCACTTAAGAAGCCTGTTGCTAATTTTACAATCGCAGTGATTCGCTTAACAGATGCCAGAAGAAAAGTCGTAAAATGGGGCAAAACTCACTTAACACATTTCTCAGCAAGGTAAATTCTGGGTTCAGTTAGGCTCATAAGTTGAGGACTATCTGTATTCTCTGCCGCTTTTCCTCTCATGGGGGAAAAAAAAATTTATCGGACACCAGCATAAACTGGTAGTAGGAAGGTTGAGATTTTGCATTGTAAAAATGCGAGAGCAAGAAGGGGGATGTTTCAGTTTACATGGCATGCAGAATCTACCCAATACTGACTGTTGTTGTGAAAAAGCTTAATGCCTTACAAAAATCCCTCAAAGCTGAGCCCATGCAAAAATATCAGGGAGTGCTGTGTTCCGTAAGATAGGTGCTGCAATAGAGAAGACCTGCTTACACCGTCCCAGTAAATGCTACTTTTTAAGAGGGGGCCTTGGAGCATAACCACATTGTAATATTTATGGAATGAACAGAGAATGCAGGTAGTCCTTGACTTACGACCACAATTGAGCCCAAAATTTCTGTAAGTGAGGTGTTTGTTACCTGAGTTTTGCCTCATTTTACCACCTTCTTTGCCACAGTTGTTAAGCGCATCACTGCAGTAGTTAAGTTAGCACGACTGTTAAGTGCTTATAAGTAAGTAAATAAAAGTTTCCCTATTTGACTTTGCTTGTCAGATGGTCCCAAAAAGGTGATCACATGACCCAGAGACACTGCATCCGTCATAAATATGAGTCAACTGCCAAAGCACCTGAATTTTAATCACATGACCATGGGGATGCTGTAATGGTTGTAAGTTGTAAATGTGAAAAACGGTCATAAGTGTCTTTTTTTCAGTGCTGAACAGTCATTAAATGAACTGTTGTAAATTGAGGACTACATGTATTGGAGACAGCCATTCGTATAAAAAAAAAATCAGCCTGCAGTATGTCCTGGAAGTCCACTGGAAGCTAGTGCAGATGTTATATTTAGTAGAGATGTTTAGTAGAGTAAAGCTGTGGCATGTCAATAATTGCTGACATTGCTGTATTCTGGATCAGTTGTAACTTATGAATGATTTTCAAGGGTAGCTCCATGTAGGTGCATTATGAGAATCCAAATGTAAGGTGATTAAAGCATGAATGGTAGCGAGAAGGTGGTTAAAGCATAATTGGTAGTGAGATGGTGGTTAAAGCATAAATGGTAGTGGGAAGGCTTTCTACTACTATTTTCCCTGTTATCTAGAGAGGGATCCAATTGCTGCAAGTGATAGAGCTGTAGAAGGGCCTTCCTAGCTATGATAGCTACCTGGTGTTTGAGAAAGACCCAGGAGTCTAGGAGAATGCCCAAATTGTATACCATCCGCTCAGAGTGCTACTGCATTCAAAGCCAAAGATGGCTACTCCACAATGCTGAGAGGTCCCAAACCTATAACCAACTCGGTTTTGCCAGAACCTGAATAGCCTGAACCTATTTCTTCCCATCTGGCCTTCAGACCCTAAGG